TAGGAAAAATGTTCCCTGTCCTATGATGCAATCATTCTATGACCTGCATCACAGAAAACCCTGGCTGGCAGCAAGAAGGGGCCTGGCTGGAGAAGACATGGGTGGAGTAACCAGGTTTAGAAGGAGAAGCAGAGTTTGAGGCAGGACCACAAGTCAGAGCTTACGGGGGGAAACCAGGGTACAGTTCATCAGTGGGACTTGGGGAACTGAGGCTCTGGGGCCACATGGGAACCCAGGTTTGTTCTTGGTGCCAGATATTTCCAGATCTGGCAGAAAGGGAAGAAAATTTGGGGGCAATACAGGAACCTGGAAACAGTAGCTTGATTCCTAGAACTTGGGTCTGGGAATGTGACTTGTTTCCAATCCCCTATGCACAGCCCCAGCCAGAAATGATTCAGCGTCATGGACTTAAGTATTTTCAAATAGTAGCAGCTGAGAAGAAAGCAAAGGCAGGAGACCAGCAGGCTGTTTTATCAGGCCCGTGCATGTGATTGTGGAGGGAATGTCTATACAATGACATTTTATTTTCTTAGAACGATTTTAACACAAGTTAATTAATTCTTCAAACAAAAAATTCATGCTCAAGAGAACAAGATGTGGGGACTTACAAACAATTCCTTACCACCCACACATCTATCTGTTGGTTTCCTGTGAGTGGACATAAAACAGCTGTTTGGAACTCGGATTTGGAGTCCATTCCCAAAAGTGGGGTCATGAAGGCATGGCCATAATTTGAGGCAATGCTTATCCGGAATACTGCAATTTACAAAGGTAAGTACATAATGTTACCTGGAACCCGGACTAAGGCAGCCCCACAACCCATGCTTTGTGACTCAGGAGCCAGACAATATTCTCACAGACCCAATATTCCTTGGAGACCATCTCAACAGGATGATGCCTTGTCTCCTGTGACTATTCCCAAAATCCCACCCAAGACAATGATCTAATCTCTGTTCAGGATTCAAATTACCTAATGGTTTTTTACTCCATTGGATTGAGCAGGTTCCTTTGTGCATACAGTTCCTGGAAAAAAGGAAAATAGATGCTCTTATTTCAATTACCACCCTTTCAGAGATCCCATTACTTCATTTGTCCCACATTCATTACAGTAGTGGTCATGAGAACAAGTTCAGCTTTATAGTCCTTGATGGAATGTATTAGCAAAATTGAGTCTTAAAAAAAAACACCAAAAAAAACCAGCGAGAAAGAAAAGCATTCTGTGCATGAAAAAAGATTTTCCATTTTAGCAGATGAAAAGAGGGAAGGAACTAAACAGATTATCTGCTATTACAAAATAATCAAGAAGATAGCTAACGGTATTTTTTCTTTTTCCAGAAGCTTTGCTTTCACCATGTTTAAGATACTGCTGAATCACACACCGGAGGTCCTGACTCATTTTGCTGACCTCTTACTGGCTGACCTCTTCTGTCCCTCCATCTTTCGCACTCTCTCCTGATGTTTCCTGCCTCCCTGTACATACCATCCTCCAAGTCTGTCTCTGCTTTTGAGCATGTGCCCGGGTAGAATAGAAGGCTGCTTACTTTTTGGTGTTCCCTCAGTGCCACATGCCAAAGATTCGATCTTCTGTTAGTTTGAGATCTGAGAGGCTTCCTCTGGACAAGGCACTCTATGCGAGTGCCTGTGTAATATATTTCTCTGAGCTTATTTCTATGTGAATGTGTCCTTAGGATTGTCTTCCTATGTGTATTCAATTAAAAAACAAACAACTACATCCAGCTCTACCTTCCTGTTCAGAAACCTTTAGTGATTCCTTACCACCCACAAAAATTACGTCCAAGTTTTTTAACATAGGATTCAAGATCCTCTGTCATGCGCTTCCAACATACCTTTCCAATAAATCAGCTCCTCCAGCCAACGTGAGAAAAGATGTAAAAAGCAGTGCCTAAGAATATAGTCTTTGGGCTCAGATCCCAGCTCAGTTACGTACAAGCTATAAGTTAGTTAAACTTCAGGTTACTTAAACTTCTTTCTAACTCAGTTTCCTTAGCTGTAAAAATGGGATAATAGTAATAATTTGAATTGCATGAAAATCAAGAAGATCAATAAATGTTAGTGTCTAATACATGGTAAGCATCATCTACTATTATAATTATGATTACTCAATATCTTCTAAACATTTTCATTTTCTATTTTTATACCTTTTCTTACCAATTTCTAGAATGTTCTTCCCTTCTCTCCACCCTTCTAAATTCTTCCTATCCTTTAAAGCCCTGATCAGATTTTTCCTTTTCCCCAATGCCACTGGACCATTCCCTCATTCTCTTATGTACCAATGGTTCTTAGTATCTATCCCAATAATTTTGCAAATGGTCATCTGTTGCTTCATGGCACTTCTTGTGTGGCCGCCTTGTGATACTAACTTCAAATGTGATTTCACCTGGTCTCCTTCAGTTAGCCTGTGAGTTCTCTGAAGACAGGACTCAGGCTTATCTCTGTATAGTGCTCAGCACTTGGTATATTGCCTTTCCAATAGTAACTGAATGAATACCTGTTTATTTGACTGATTTGACCCATAGGTTGAATGCAAGTTTGCTGAGTGCTTATGGCAGTGGTGAGCTAAAGGGAGTGTAGAGGAGTTGGAACCTTTGTTATTCACTTGTAAGACATTTACAAAATGCCCGTGCAAGGTGCTCCACTTCCACCTTGCACCTGTCAGTGCACTCTCCTCACTCCAGGAGGAGGCACCGGGACTGCTTTATTGGTGATCTACTAGGTTGAGCAGGTACTGTGTTTGGCCAGAAGGGGGCAGGCTTGGCAGCCAGATGGGTTTTTAGAACAGTGATTTGGCAGGATGCAGAGAGGCAGGGAGAGTCCAGGGCTGGTTGTAACACAAAGAGGTCTCTTAAAGAGCCATTGCTTCCACAAAGTAGTTTTTCAAATTCAGACCTTCATGCTTGGTTGCTCAGATTTGGCTCTGGGTGGAAATCTTTGGCATCTAAAAGGGCCAGGGTCAGGTGAGATAGGAGAGGAGCTAGTGTGGTATTGGGTCAAGACTTCCAGGTTGTAGTCCAGATTCTTTTACTAACTTTCTGAGTGGCCTGGGGCACTGATTCATTACCATATTCTCAAGTTTTCTCATCTGTCATTGAGGTTGTTGGATCAATACATAACCTCTAGGGTCCCTGCTGTCTCTAATATTCTGACACCTTAAAATTCATCTCATAGTGGGGGTCACTAGTATCTATAAGGAGAAAGACAGAGACCTCATTTGGCCAGAATTCAGACTCTTCTTCTGGCCAGTAAAGCTCAAGTGAGTCAGTCCCTGGGGTATGGGATGGTCTCATTTATTGGAAGTGGCCCTTCTTATAATAGTATCAGAATCCTTCCCTGTCTCCACCAAATTTGAAAGAGTAAGAACTTGGGATATAGGGTCATGAAGAGATGGCTGGGTAATAATGAGGCATAGGTCTTAAACTAGAGCCATCTCTGTTTATCTAGTCAATTGTCCTTGCTTCTGAATTATCACTGAGTGTTCCTTCTTTGCAGTCCTGATGAAAGGACTGAAGTCACAGATGTAGATGAGGGTAGATAGAGGTTTAGCTAGATGAAGCAAGATTGCACTGAGGCATAGTGCCAAGTAAGCAAAAGTGGTCAGAGAGCCACGCAGACCATGGGCTCAGTCTTATTGGTGCATTCCCCAGGCCTGCCGGCCCCTCCCACTCTCTCCTTCACCCCATGCCCTCCTGCTCCAGCACCACCTCTCCCTCTCAAATGAAGCTTTAGTAGCCTGTCCCACTAATTCAAATCCACTCCGCAGCTAAGGCAGCCAGTCTGCCTTCTTCACTTACATCAGGCTCCTGGGGCATGAGAGCACTGAGGCCACGTTTCTGTGCTTATGAGCCCATCTTGTGCCTGGAAAATCATGCCGTGGAGGATATTGCTGCCACCACCGTGGGGCACTGTGCTGTGTTCTAGAATTTGGGGAACAGTGTGGCAGGCAGATGGCCGTCTGGGGCAGAACATATACAAGGATACCAGTTCTTGTAGGACAAGTGGTCAAACATGGAAACGGACATCTGTCCCACTTATTTCATTTCTCTTACTTAGCTTTCCCTCTTCCTGACAATGCACAGCCCCTGCTGGGTGCTTGTCTCTGTGACACTGGCTGGAGGGGAGCGGGAAGGGAGAGAAAATACATGGTCTCAAACTCCAAGGAGCTTGCAGTCTGGCCAGAGAAACCCTTACACACGTTTGCAAGGGTTTATAAGGGTGGCCATGAGCAGGGGCATTTCACCTGGCATCCATGTTGAACATAAGCATCTAAAAATCCCAAGTTTATTTTTCTGAAGAAATAATTCATAATTGTCAGATCTCAAAGGTGCAATGGCCTCCAAAAGGACGAAGAACTGAGCTCAAGTTAGAAGTCCTGGGCTGGAGTCCTGGATTTTCATTTGCTAACTGTGTGATAGCACCTTGTCTAATCTCCCTGATCCTTAGTTTCTTTTATTTAAAATATATTTTATTGATTCTTTACAGAGAGGAAGGGAGAGGGATAGAGAGTTAGAAACATCAATCAGCTGCCTCCTGCACACCCCCCACTGGGGATGTGCCCGCAACCAAGGTACATGCCCTTGACTGGAATTGAACCTGGGGCCTTTCAGTCCGCAGGCCGACGCTCTATCCACTGAGCCAAACCAGCTAGGGCTTGATTCTTCGTTTCTTAATCTTTAAAGTGAGGGGATGATGTCTGTCCTTCCTATTTCATAGTGTGGCTGTGAGGATCAAATGAGACAAATATGTGAAAGTGCTTTACAAATCATAAAACACCATGTAGGCAGTAAGTGTCATTGACATTTAAAACCTAAACACAAGGCCATACTGAGTGACAGACATAGAGTTTATAGGAACTTAGAGATGTTTATGCCAATATTTTCCTCTTGCAAACTATGACAGAGGAAAAGTGGCTCAGGGATGAATAGCTAATCTGGGGCAGAGGCAAGACCAGAGAACAGCTTCCTTAAGGCTCTGCTGTGGGGAGCCAGGTGGTCCAGTGTCCAGAGCAGCCCACAGCCTCTGTGAGTGAGGGTCCCTGTTTGCTGCAGGCAGAGCCTCTTGCTCCCTCAGCCTCATGGGAAATACTATCTGGCTAAACCTGGATCTATTTACCTCCTCACCCTATTCTGCTTCAACCCCTACTTCCACTCTTCACCACCCAGCCAACCCCTATGAAACCAGTTTCCAAGGGGAATCTGGGTTTCATGTTACATCATCATCAAATAACTGATGCCCATCTGGGAGAGATCCAGAGATAAGTTGGGGACAGCTTGTGCAGAAAAGAGAGAGACCTGGTAGCCAATGCAAATATTGCAGTACAATCCAAATATTGCAGACAGACTTTCTGTGAGTGAGAGTTTTCTAAAGAAACTCTTGCCAAGATTGCTCACGTAATTTCAAGCAACATCTATGCACAAGTTCATGAAACAAACGAAAGAGGCAGCTTGATTGAAAGGACCCTGGCATGTGGGTGAAACATGGCCAGTGGGGACCATGGGCCTCCCATGGGCCCATTTCTCTCAGCGGCTGCTAAAGGTGTCCAATGCTCTATGAGTTCTTTTCTTTCTCAATTTGGGTGAGAACCTGGGGAGCTGGCTCATCCAGGCCATGCCTCTGTCCCTACCCGGGATGTTACCTGCAGCATTGCAGAACCCAAGGCTCTGTTCTCTCAGCAAATGCCCCCCGAGCAGAGAGCCCAGCTGTTCTCTGTGACCCATTCCAGTGTTAACTGTGGTCAGATCTTGGAAAGTGGGCCCCACAATGACCTTAGATACCACCTTAGCCATTTGTTTATTTCCTCTGGCTCCTACTAATTAGAAGTGGGTGATTGCCACTCACCAAGTTTTCCACTTAAAAGTATGCTTTCAAATACTTGTCCATAATGGCTCCTTAACCTATACTTGTCTAGACCTAAGAATTTAAAATATACTCACTTACTTGATTATAATCTTCTCCAACTGTTTTATAATCTCTTCTACCTGACCCCCTGCTATTCAACCCCCTCCCAAAAGAACACCCCTTCACAGTGTCCCCCTCTCCTTTTTAGGCACTCACCTCTCTCCCCAAGAACGTTTTCATCTTCAATTCACCAACATTTGAACAGCTGTACAAGCACAATCTGTTTGATTCGAGAACAGTGTCTGTGAGAAGGAATGCTTTGTAAGTTTCCAGAGAAATGTGAAGCTTAATATAGAAAGCCATATAACAATTCTTTTGGTTCTGGAAGTCACAGGGATATGGATTGCACTGCAGACGCAACCTGCCTGATGATGTTAGCACTTTGCAGCACTGGGTTTTTCTGCAGCACTTTCATTTTTATTCCCGTTCAGAGACACAGTGGATCAACCTACTGGAAGCATCTGCTCTGTGAGGACAGGGCCCATGTCTTGTCAGTCTCTCTGTGTGGCCAGGGCCTAGGAAGGGTAAACAAAGGGTAAGTGCCTTTACATGTTGGATTGCATTGTATTGCCTATCTGCCCCTACTTTGGTCTTAAACTTAGTCCAAATAGGCTCTCGAACTGGAAGCGATAATGGTTACCAAGTATTGAGTATAGCAGGGGCAGGTGTCATTAGATCATACCTCAACCACCTTCTTTGACTCCAGAAGGCTTAAACGAAGTTCAAGCGCTAAGATTGAAGAGTATCGTGTCCACCAAGGTCTATGTGATCATCTGTTCCTCAGGGAGACCCATGATTAGGATCTGAAAAATAATGAGAACCTGGACAGAACAGAATAGATTTGGCGGTAGGGACCATGAAATGTAGAAATGGTGGGATACATCAGGATCACTTCCTTAGCTATAGTATTTGGGGCTGGCACTGAGGCTAGCTCCTGCTGAGTAGAATTGCCTTGAAGCCGTCGTAGGCTGTACATGCTCAGGGTCCTCGTTTGGCTTTTGTGGGCTCTAGGTAAAGCAGCCTTCCATTAGATGCTGGGGATGCTTCTTGACTGTCATGGAATGTTCTGGAACCTTAAAACACATGCTCAGTTACATTTTTTGATTCCCCAAGGCTGAAAGCCCAGAAAAAGAACGTAAACTCTGTCCCTGCCAAGGGTCTTAGTTATATACAGATTGTGTAATGAGCTGGAGGTCCCCAGAGGTCAATCTAGACAGAAAGACAATATGGAAGGAACCCCTCTACCCCTCACCCCCCCCCCAAAAAAAAAAACAGTTACCATGAGTGGAAATACTCTGGCAGAATGGACCAGATCCAGCTGGAGCACCTGCATGTTGGACAAGAGGTCCCAGGTAGAGTGCAGGGCTGAGTCCCTCCATTTCTCACCTGGACCCCTCAGCCCCCAATCCTGAGTTCCAGTGTGTCCTGGAAAGGAGGGGGCTGGTTCTTAAGAAGCAAGAAACTGAGTCATCAGAGGTACAACTCTTCTAGTGTGGGCTTCTTCTCTAAAAGACCTGGGAGATCCTGTCCTGCCAGCTGGGGAGGGAGATGACCACTGGCGGTCAATGGTTTGGGAAAAGTGGGCAGCAGCCTGACAGCCACCTGGCAGGAGAGAGCGTGTAGGCCGGCAAGGGCTGCAGGTCAGGAGGACAGAGATGGGAGAATATACATGAAAAGCTTGACTGCACAGCAGAATTAGCCACTCTTGCTGTGTAGAATATTCTGCATAGTCTAAATTTTCTTCAAAGTGTTAGCTTTTGCCAGATATTGAAATCTCTCAGAGCTCAGCCTGTGGATGGGTTCATCTCCGTTTATTTTTCATTAACGTTTACTAGTGAGTCTGGGATGATACAGACATATCAACAACAAAAAGCAGATAGAAACCGAGATTCAGAAAAAAAAACAAACAAAAAAAACCTCACACAGAATTACAAAAAGAAATACACACAAAGGGATACTGAGAGAGCCTGAGAGAAAGGATTAAAGGTAGAGGAACACAGAGAGGAAGCAATTTGGGGGAGGGAGGCAGGGAAGGAGGGAGAGATTGAGACCTATTAAAACGGTATTATGCAAGAAGCTAGCTGGGTCTCCCAGGATGAAGATCAGGGCGTCTTGGATTGAAAACTCAAGAGAAACCACAAAGGCTCATTGTTTTGTTTGTCCAGAGGTTTAGGCTCCAGGCAACATTGGCCCTGGCTTTCTGAGACACTGTCTGAGCGCCCCCTGCTGGCAGCTCTGTAGAATTTCACCATCTGGATCTAACTTTGGAATGGGATTACGTAAGTCTTTAATTTTGCCCACCCATTTTCCCCATTTCTTTCTTTCTTGCTTGTTTGTTTGTTTTTTAATTTCCCAAGTTTTTTTCTGTTTGTTTGTTTTTTCTAAGCCTGACGTCTAGTGCTGGGGCTTGAATGTCCTGACAGATTGCCGCGGTCCTATCTCCCAGTGAGGACAGTCCTGAGAGACCCAGCCTAACAAGGGTGCCCACAGGAGGCTGGCTGAGCAAACGTTTATTGAACACGTGGCACACACAAAGTACTGTGGAAAGGCCTGAAGGGAGCTCATTTGGCCTTTAGTCTTCTTGCCTCAAAAGTGGCTGCTACAATAGTAAACTGGCCTGCTGGGGTTGGGGAGAGGGCACTCTCCTACCCAGATCTGACCAACTGGACCAGCCTTCCAAAATAAGTCCTAGAGGAGCCTTAGGTCCTGAGGGGCACCAACGGTGCTGGCACCCTTCCCTCTTCCATTTCCTTCTCTTTCACCCCGTTCATCTTCTCCGCATGAAAGGGAGGAATTGCAATGTGCAAAGCCCCTGGGGTGGGAAGGAGCGCGACAGTCTCCCCGAATGCTAAGTGGATTTTACTGCTAAGAATAGCCTTTATCTCTGGGAGGAAAGGCAGGAGATCTGGTCCTCTCTCCTCTCTCTCTCTCAGCTGAAGGTTGATTTTAAAGGGACAGCAGCCAGTCATTGGAAGACCGTGTGCCCTGGCTTTTCTACAGTGTTTGAGTTCTGATTTACAAAGCCGGGAGAGGGGCATTGTGACAGAAGAGTACAAAAATCCAGAGGATCGCAGCAGGAGGGGAGGGAGGAGGCAAGAGGGAAAAGGGGGAAGAGGAAGAGCAGGACACAGAATGTCTGTTGCACCCTGAGCCCTGGCTTCTACAGCCCCAAGCAGGCAGCTGGGGCTGGCCCTGGGGTCAGCAGTGGATCCCCACTCTGGCAGTACCTGGAGATCACCTTAGGGAAGAGGGACAGATCTCCAGACCTCTGACTAGGATTATGCTCACAATAAGGAATCCTAGTACCTCCCCTCAGAGGTTAGAGACTCCAATCATCTCTCTAAAAATTGAGCTTCCTTTAATAAAAAAATGCTGTGTTTCTCTCAGGGCAGAAAGTATAAATGCTCCTAAGACAGTAGGTCAGAGGCATAGGGTTATTTTCAAGGACTCTGGGTGAAAGGCTTCTCTTTCCTTTGTTAGTTACAGTTATTTGCATTGCAGAAAGCAGTAATGGCTCTCTGGGCAAAAGGCATTTATTCTTTAGTCCCCTGATCGCCCTTGACCACTGTTTCTGTCTTTTATCCACCTCCCCTCCCCTAGCTTCTCTCCTTTTCTCTTATCGCTGGTGCAGTCTTTTGCTCACACTGTCTCATGGTCTCCCCAAGGCTTTGGCTTCCTTCCCCACTCAACCTCTCATGCCCCTCCTGGATCTGCTTGCCTGGTCAGAGTGCTGCTGTGGAAGGAAGAGATGAAAGGGTTGCCAGGCCTGCCTGGGGTCCCCAAATGTCTGATGCCCTGCAGAGTACTAACACGGCAAACGGCGAGTGACAGACCTTGAGAAGAATGAGGCTCTGGGTCTTTCTTTACTCAACACTCAGCCTATAAACCACCTCTGGACAACTACTAGACAGCCCATAAATTATATTAACTCCTATCCCAGCTAGCCCGGTCCACTTCTACCATAGGGAAGTATTTTAGTAACTCGTGAGTCAGTAGGAGCAGAAGGCCTTGGTAGGCACTGCCTAAATACAAATACTGGGTATTTATCACAAATGAGAGTGCCTCATAAATAACTGAAACTGGCCCAGTTCTGCTTCTGTTGAATAAAAGGGAAAAAACCCACAAACGTCAAAATGTAAAAAATAAAAGAGGACCGCCCTGTAGAAGACGCTATTTCTCCGTATTGCTACAGCTGATTAAATCGTAGCTATTTCCAAAATGCTTTTGGAGAAGAGATGATTTTAGAAGAAAACTGCTCAGCTGTTCCGAGGTGGTCTGGGCTGCTCATGACCAGCAGAGGGCAGGCTTCAGTTACAAACAGAGGCCGCAGAGGGGATGGTGGGAAAAGGGCAATTGAGGATTCCAAGGTTGGCACCTGCTTAGTCCATGCTTACGCATACCCCCAAGATGCCCGACAGGACACAAGAGATTAGATTCCCAGGAATCAGTTCTAAGCAGGGAATGGCTTGACTGTAAATGTGCCTTGGTTTCTAAGATGAAGACCTGGCCAGAGAAGGCTGATTCTGCATACCTCCTCTGGGTGCTGCAAGCGGCTGTTTACTGTGAGCCACTGCAGTGACTTGTCCCCATCCCAGGCCTGCCACAGTCACTCAAAGCCACATATTGTTTGGGGTGGAGATGCTTGGCTTTGTATCTGCCTTGGAAAGGCAGGTGCTATGTCTCGGATTTGGTGAAAAAGTTCCTGCTGTTGGCCATTCCCTTTGGTTTAATAAATATAGAGAAACCTTTTCTCTGGGAAACAGAGATAGGAATGAAGACCATTAGAAATGATTCCTTAAGATCTGAGCCAGCCTAACAATTCCACTTCTAGATATAACCCAAGAGAATTGAAAACATATGTCCACACAAAACCTGAATATTCATAGCAGCATTATTCATCACCGCCCAAAAGTGGAAAGTGTTCATTGATGGATGAGAAGATAAATAAAATGTGACATATCCATGCAGCTGAATAGGTTTCAGTCAAAAAAGGATGCAGTGCTGATACACGTTACAACATGGATGAACCTTGAAAGCTTTATGCTAATTGAGAGAAGATAGCCACAAAGGACTACATAGTGTATGATTCCATTTATATAAAATATCCAGAATAGGCAAATCCATAGAAAAAGAAAATAGATTAGTGGTTGCTAGGGGCTGGAGGAAGGGAGGAATGGAGAGTGACTGTTAATAAATAAGTAATTTCTTTGGGGGTGAAATGTACTGGTGCACAACTGC